CCGGCCTCAGCCCGGCTGTGGGTGAGGAGGCTGGGCAGCCGAGTCTCCTGAAGGCCCCCTCCGCAGCCCCCCCTCCCGCCGCTGTGGGTGCCAGTGCGTCTCGGAGCCTGTGCTTGTCATTCTCCTGGGTCCAGCGTCCAGATTTCCTTTGATTGTAAAATATATTTTTACTTTTCAGCCTAATTTAATAAATGATCTATATGAGAGTAGAGCATTAAAGTCCTGCAGGGAAGTTTACACATGTGTTCCTTAGTCTTTTTAACTTAACGCCTAACAGACTCGCTGCAGTGAACTAGTCCGGGACCATGCGGACGGTCGGCAGGTGGCTGGCTCTCAACGTGACCCCAGACGTCACGCCGAGCTCTGCTTCGGTGAGAGCTGCCGGAGGCACGGCTGCTCGGTGCTGACCAGGTCGGTGTGTGCACTCCTGGCTCTGACCGTGACCGCCTGCCTCGCTGGCAGGTCGTGTGATGGGGCCGGGCCCAGGGAGACCCTCCCGCCACCCTCCCTCTGCCTCCCAGGTGGCCGGCCGCCCGGAACTGGCCTGCCCACCTGGAGATCATCCCGTGTCCTTCCTGCGAGTCAGGCCCACAGCCAGGGCGCCCTCTGCATCCTGGGCGCACAGATGGGCAGTTGCCGCCCCCCCGCCAAAACACACACACACGTGCAGTGCGCTCACAGCTCTGGGCGAGAGCAGGGGAAGAAACAAGTGGACACGTGACGGGCCTGAAGGGGAAGTGGTGGCAGCAGCCCCGGTGCAGCCCCAGCCTGTGGCAGCTGCTTCCTGCGTGTGCCGCCTCCTGTCAGCTGGTCCCGCTTGTCCCCCTCTGTGACCCCTGTCGTCATTAACCCCGTGCATTGGGAATGATGTGAGGGTGTTTCTGAGCCCTTGGCCCACCCCTGGCTCCTGCCAGTGCCCCCAGAGGCTACCCGAGACTGACCCGGTCTCCATGCCCGTCCCTCCCAGGGTCCAGCACAAGCCCCGGGGGGTGTGCAGCCTGTGGGGCCCCGGACAGCCCAGCCACAGGATGGCGGGGAGTGATGCCAGGACCAGGATGTGTACTTGATGCTCAGCATTTATTTGAAAAGTTGGGGCTGGTGAGCAGAGCAGCGCTTCAGGACACCGACCCCTCCCCCCACTCCGGCCATCAGAGCCTCGGCCCCAGGTCCAGACACGGGCAGGCAGCACCCCGATGCGGCTCCGGAGGCAGCGGGCTGGGGGGACCGCTGCCCGTGCGGGGTCTGCTGTGGAGGGGCCGCAGGAGGCAGGGCTCCATGGGGCTTGGCGGGCGGTGGGGTCCCAGGCTGTCCCTCTGACAGGAGGAAGGGGGGTCTGGGCCGAGTGGGTGCAGTGCTCGTTGTAGATGAGAGTGGCCCCGATGGCAGGGCAGGCGGCAAGTGGGCGGAGGGCGTCCCTGCCTAGTGCCTGCTTCGAGGTGACCTTTGCTGCTCTGTCCCTGTCCTGGGTGTGGGCTTCACCAGGGCAGGTGGGGGGGGGTCCCAGGCTGTCCCTCTGACAGGAGGAAGGGGGGTCTGGGCCGAGTGGGTGCAGTGCTCGTTGTAGATGAGAGTGGCCCCGATGGCAGGGCAGGCGGCAAGTGGGCGGAGGGCGTCCCTGCCTAGTGCCTGCTTCGAGGTGACCTTTGCTGCTCTGTCCCTGTCCTGGGTGTGGGCTTCACCAGGGCAGGTGGGGGGAGGGAGGGGGGCAGGCTGGGGTCAGACAATGAAGCTTTGGCCAGGCTCGGGAGC